CCTGCGGGGGGGGGGGGTAGCGTCGCTATCTTAGGTGGATTAGGGGTTGCTGGATCAAGCATAGGAGTTTGGAGCAGACTCGAGCGACACTAGAAGCTTGGTATGAGCGAAAACAGATGGAACGGGACAGTGGCATGCGATTTAGGCATGGAACTCTATGCAAACTCATCGTCTCCTATCACAGGATTGAGTAACAATCAGAAGGAATCATGCTATATCAGGGTTTTGCAGTGGGCAACATTGCTATCTTAGGCGGATTTGGGGCTGCTGGATCGAGTGAAGGAGTTGACCTTAGCAGCATCACCTGGAAGGAAAAGTATGACATTTGGAAGGCTGGAACGATAAAAAACAGACAGAATGGGACAGTGGTGTGCAATTCTAGCATGGAGACAAACGATTTAAAGGAATTTTCTTGTGAGGGACCGGGCAACATTAGAAGGGCTACAACGAATGATAGCAGGCAGAACCAAACGGGTGGAGGAATACCAATTTGAAGGATTTCGATCTAGATGAGGGAACCACAGGGGGGTGGGACCTTGGCTGAGGGTTGCACCCAATCGCTCCAATGCCTTTTACTACTGTAACCGCCATATAGCCTTCCGGGCGGAAGGAGATTCAAGACTCTATGGAGACAAACGAGCTGAGTATGGGGCGAGCTAGACTTATGAAATAAGAGAAATCAATATGGGTTGAGGAAAGAAACTTAATAACTACTTCATAGGTGGAATGAGCTTCGATCGAGGAAATTGGCGAGACGACTCAGACATAAGAAAGTTGAAGATATCGATTATTAAAGGAAAAGATTCTTGTAGTTGGATTTATCACGTGAAGAGATACTTTGTTCTTAATGGGTTGACAGAGAAAAAAAAAATGATGACTTCGGCCCTTTATTTGTAAGGGAATGTTCTAGTGTGATATCAATGTAAGAACAATGTCAGCCAACCAGAACATTTAAAGAATTCAAAGATCGATTGTTGGAGCATTTCAGAACCAAACGGGAAGGAGATTTAGCCAAGCAATTGTTTGCGTTGGTCTAGGAAGGGTTTGTCTGAAGTTATCTGGAGAAACTTGAGATGTTATCTGACTGTTTGAGGGGGATATTAGTAGTATAGGGAGGAAACTTCATAAAGAGGTTGGAGCAAGAGCAAGAAATTCGAGCAACACTCTGTCTATTAAGACTGTAAGTATTGGGGAAAACTATGGAATTAGTGCAATTGATTAATGATAAAAATGAAATGGTACTAGCTAATAGGAGCAACGTAGTTGGATCACCATATCAAAATGTTACAACTGTGACGGTACCAAAAACTCAAATATCGGGGTTCTAGAGAGGCTCCACGGGATAAGAATAATCGGCTATGAGTGAGAGTAGCCTTCAAACGCCTTACAGAGACAGATTTAAGAGAAGCAAACTATTGAGTTATGTTTTTTGTGTGATGTGAAGTTTACTCTAGGACACCATTGCAAGGATCAAACTTTTGCAGGTTCTCACAATGTGTGATGATGAGGCGGTAGAAGAAAAAATAAAAGAGTTTGTGGTGGAGGAATACCCTTACCTGAATGTAGTAGTTGGTGTGGTTCACATCGAACCACGTTGAAACTTCATGGACATATCGGGGAGTAAGTCACAATGATTTTTATAGATACTGGAGCCACCCACAATTTCATCTTCACTCAATTAGTGGAGTAATTAGGGCTTGAGATGGTTGGCACAGGAAGCTTTGAAGTAATGATGGGGCGAGACAGCTGGAGAAGACCATGATAGTTTGTAAAGAGCACATTGCATAGTATTAATTTTCTTCTTTTGTATATAGGGAGCATTAATTTAATATTGGGTATGAAATGGTTGCAGTCTTTAAAGGAGACTAAGATAATATGGAAATTCCTGACAATGGAATTTCATGAGAGAGTAGTGCTTCTCGATGACCCTAATTTGTGCAAGACCTTAGTGACACTTAAGACCATGGTTAGACCGAGATTTTTGAGTGAGTTTCATAGTATGTAAGAGTGGCAGATATTCTGACACTGATCCCGACTGTTTATATGCAATAGTATAACAATATCTCTGATTATATTTTCACTTATATTTCCTTAATTTGCAACAGAGTCAAAACTTTGATCCTAAAGAAAATAAGAATTTAACTCTTCAATTTATATATACATTGGGATATTACGCAAGTATACGTATCGTTATCAAGTAATATATGACTTTTTGATTAAGACCTGAATATCAAACCCACAGAAAAATTATGCAATATGATCTATTGAACAACAAACTTTCTATTTTAAAAAGACAATTACTTAGACTGGAGATGTATTCACAGTAATTAAAATTCAAATTTTTTTGGTATTTTTGATATTTTGACAAAACAGTAGTAATTTAAAAAGATAACTTGAGTTTATGTAAAAGAAAAACACTAAATTTAAAAATATATTTCTCCTTATTATGAATTAGTAATAAACATAGGAATTCTGTTGTGCAAGTATGCAAATTATTTTGTGTTAAATATGAGCAATTGTATTCTTTACCCTTACTAGAGATGCTATAAAGAACATTGATTAATTTAAAGTTTGAATAGTTCTGAAGACCGAGTAGGCAGGAAATTTACTAGCTCTCACTCTAGAGTTTCCTTAATTCCCTTCACGTAGGGGCTAATATCTCGTAGCAGAACCTAAAACAATAAATTAAGTTGGGGGCTTTAATCTGTCACTTTAAAGTCCTCTAACTCTACACCCTTCAATGATTATTTTCCTATTTATTTGCACTAAATCATATGAATTACATTCTCACTCATACAACCTCATGTGATTCTTTCCAATTGTTGACTGAGACAATATCAGTCTGGTTCTTACATGTTCTCACAACAAATTTTAACATCTGGATAGACCAAATTAAGAAGTAAATGAAGTACATAGAATTAAATAGAGAAAGATAAAGAAATCTACTCAAAATTCATAGAGAAAACAAAACCACACTTTAGTTTAAAAGTACTCAGAATCCATAGAGAAAACAAAATCACACTTTAAAAGTAGAAATCATTGTCGAACTAACAAGAAGTCTCGATTAAAACCAAAAGTAATTTAAAAATACAAGATAAAAATTTATCTCAAATCCTCCACCAAACTCTTGAAGTTCCTTTGAATTTCTTCTCTTTTACAACACTCTTAACTCTCAAAATAAAACTAAAAACAAAAAAAGATAAAGTAATTTTTTTATTTTTTTGTGGTGCCTGAAAATATCTCCCTTTTTAAGCACTTTTCAGGACTTCAAGCACCCCCTTCAAATGTCTCAACTTTCTTCTTTTATAAATTTCCTAAGAGGTGTATTGGAAACTCTTCAAAATATGTCCAAATTTTATGTATTCTCCAAGGGATGTCTCCTTTAGCAAGTCTTTGAATAATATTTTCGTTTCTAGTGGTCATAACCACCCTCTTTAGCCAATAGGCGTCTCAAATACCTCTTCAAAATTCTGTAAAATGAAGAAAACCACCAAATAACTGCCTCTAGCGCTTAAGCGCGGGGCCTCTGAAGCTTAGGCGCGACCTTCTCTGTTTAACCGGCTTTTAAGCGTCGGATCTGGCGCTTAGACGCCAAAATATTTTAGCACAATTTTCATCTTTTTGCTCCAAATTTGATCATTTTTTTCTTCTTTTAACATTTTTCACATTTTTACTTGTTCCTGAAAGAAAAACACACAAATATATTCCATTAAAGCGCAATTTCTAAAAAATATGTATAAAAATGTTTCTAAAAATACTATATATTTTAAGTGTATCAGACACCAGTCCAACAGGTCTTACAGCAGTTTGCAAAAGTTTTCCAGTTGCCTTCTTACAGGGAACACCAACATGTGATAACCTTGAGGCTGGTGGTTTCTCCCATCAATGCGCGCCCATACTGCTACCCTCATTTACATAACGATGAGATCAAGAGATTGAATCGCGAGATGTTGGAGGCAGGGATCGTATAGTCTAATGCGAGCCCCTTCTCTTGCTTGGTCTTGCTAGTGAAGAAGAATGAGAGTTGGCATTTTTTGTATGGATTATCAAGCCGTGAATAAGAAAATAATACCCAACAAAATTTTCATTTTTGTGATTGGTGAGCTACTGGACGAGTTGTTTGAGGCTATCATATTTTCAAAGTTTGATTTGAAGTCATGATATCATCAGATTCAAATGCAGCCATCGGATGTTCACAAGACTATTTTTCAAACTCATGAGTCATATGAATTTCTAGTTATCTTATTCAAGCTCACCAACGTGCCAACTACATCTGAATCACTGCTGAGCAAGTTGTTTTAGCCTTTACCCTAGAAGTTTGTGTTGGTGTTATTTGACGATATCCTTGTGTACAACTACTCCTTGGAAGACCACATTGATGACTTGAAGTTATTGACGGTACCCGACGAGCACCAACTTTACGCTAACTTGAAGAAGTGTTAATTTGCCCGCTGAAGGTGGAGTACTTAAGACATAATGTTAGTTATAGGGGTGTTGACAGGTCAATCAAAGCTGACAACGATGTTGGATTGGCCACTATCCAAGATCTTGAACGAGTTAAGAAGATTCCTGGAACTTACAGGGTACTGTCAAAACTTCATCAAGGGTTTCATCTCGATTGTATGGCCATTGACATAACAATTGAAGAAGGATAATTTTCAATGGGTAGAAGTTGTGACCCAGGGTTTTGAGTAGTTAAAGAAAGCTATGATGAGTGTACTAGTGTTGGTCTTTCCATTGTAGAGACAGATGCTTTAGGTTGTGTGTTAGGTGTAGTTCTCATGCAGTGTCAATGACTCGTCACTTATTTTAGTCAAGTGCTGACAACGAGAGCCAAACTCGAGTATGTTAAGGAGCAGGAGGTTATAGCGATTTTGTTTGTTATTCAAAATGTTAACCTTTTTTATTAAGGCGGCATTTTACAGTTCACACGGATCAATGTAACTTAAAATTTCTGTTAAAGCAATGTATGGTGACTGAAGAATCAAAGGTGGTATCTATACTATTGGGATATGTTTTTGAGATTCAATATCGCCTAAGATTTGAGTATAAGGTTGTTGATGCCTTATCATGACGGATGGAGGAACTCAATTGTTGCGTTTGTTTGTCCCTTTGGTCTAGATTCGGAGGACCTGAGGCAAAAGAGTGAGGAGGATGAGGAATTGAGCAAAATTCCATCAGCTTTATTGAATGGTGAGAACAACTATCCTAGTTATTTATTGAATGACTAACATTTAACTTAACGTGGATGCTATGTAAATTTCAAGACATACCAAAGTTATTATGAGTTCCTTGGCAAGGTTATCAAGGGTATTCAGGCATGCTTAAAACATATTAGAGAATAGCAAAATAATTATATTTGGTACATGATCTCAAGTTGTGATGTGTGTCAAATACACAAGCACATGACATTAGTGCCTAAGGTTTTGCGACAACCTCTAGCATTTTCGGAGAATGTATGGGAGGAGGTGACAATAAATTTCATTGAAGGCTTACCTCAGTCAGAAGGATTTTCGATCATTGTGGTGGTGGTGGACTGGTTAAACAAGTACATTTTGTATGTCCGTGTCATCCCTACCGAAAAATTTTCTGTCCGGACTCTGGAAGTAGCTCTGTATGTGGACTCCAGTAATATGATGTCATGTGTGCTGCATCGCGAAAGTTATTTCGGGGTTATTGAAGTGAAACTACAGAGGTTATTTCGGGGGTATTGAAGAGAAACTCATTTATTTTATTTCAATAATCCTAAAATAACATCCACGGTTCCACTTCAATAACATTGAAATAACACTGTGGAGGTTATTTCGGGGTTATTGAAGAGAAACTCATGTATTTTACTTCAATAACCTTCACAGTGTTATTTCAGGGTTATTTTTGGATTATTTCGGAGTTACTGAAGAGAAACTTATACATTCCACTTCAATAACACCGCGGAGGTTATTCTGGGGTTATTGAGGGTCCACAGTTCCACTTTAATATTTTTTTAGGTGGGCCCGATATAACACACATGGCGACATATTATTGGAAGTCCGCACATAGAGCTACATCCGGAGTCTGGATAGAAAATTTTTCCCATCCCTGCGCTGCTATTTCCACCTCGAAGATAATATGTGTTATTGGGATGGGAGTAATGTAAGACGGGAACCTACGATGCCTTTCACCTCATGCTCCGCAAAGCAGAGTGGTCCCTTAGAACTCATGTCGAGCCAGCCAAATAATTTGAAGACCTATTTTAGGCACAAGCCTAAAATGACAATTTAGTCATTTTCTAGTTTTTATTGTTTTATAAAAGTAGGTCTTAAAGAGGATTAGGATTGGGGTATGTGATTGTTGTCTTGAATCTTAGGGTTAGAATTTGAGAGAGAATTACCTACCTCTCGAATTGTAGGTCTGTTGTTTATGTATTGGGGGTTGTGTTGTAAGATATTTTATTTTTCCCTAATCTCTGTGGAAACTTGTCTCATTCCTATATCTTTCTAATTATTATTTGGCTATGGAATTTGACAGGGAATGTACATGATTGTCTACTCACAGCGACTCGCGAGCATGCTTTCCAATTCGGTGATGCTGCAAGCTCTTTTATTATGGACCACTTCATTGGTTGTGGGTGGTTTTCCTGCTGTAAAATCATTTGTACTATCTTGTTTTTGTATAATCCTAATGTGGCTGTTTTCTCTGGGGTTATCCGTGTTAATTGCTTTTATAATACCTCTAATATCTTCCTCTCCTGTGCCATATATTGCCAACCCGTGGTTATTAGCTGGTTTGTTTGGTGCGCCAGCAGTACTTGGTGCCATTTCTGGTCAGCACATAGGCTTTATATTTCTTCAAAAACATCTGAGGAAGGCCATTCATGAAAGAATGGAAAGTCTCTCTGTCACTCGTAAAGAAAACTCAGTGAAATGGGAGGCAGAAAGATGGGTTTTCAAAGCAGGATTAATTCAGTGGCTTATACTTCTTTTTATTGGCAACTTTTATAAGGTTGGATCTTCATATTTAGCTTTTGTTTGGTTGGTTTCTCCTGCTTTTGCTTGTAAGTAAACCCTTACTTGGCCATTACAAGTTGATTGTTTCACTTTAGAAATTGTGATGTATGTTATTCCACTTTCCCAGATGGACTTATGGAAGCAACCTTATCTCCAGTGAGGCTGCCAAAGCCGCTTAAAATTACTACATTATTTCTGGGTTTAACCATACCTTTTCTTCTGTCTTCTGGTGTTATTATTAAGTTGGTGGGAACAATAACGGGTACCTTGGTTCGGTTTGATAGGTGTGATTTTTTTTCTACTTATTGTTCTTTAATCCCAAGAGAAAAGTATCAAAATGTTCCCTAACTCTTTGTAGGCGTAAATTTTAGTCCCATAATCTATTAAATTGGAGGACTGTTCTATTTTAATTTATTTTATTTTTTGAAAGGAATGGAGGACTATTTTGAGCACATATTAAAAGACACTAGGGCTTAATTTGATATTTTTATATAATTTGAGACTATAATGGCTCCATGTAAATAATCAAAGGACTATTTTAACACTCAACTCTTAATCCAAATATTTTTACTGATTTTGCATATTCTATTTTTCTGAACAGAGCTGATTTTTGAACTAGTAAGCAAGTTGTTTGTGGTAATCCTTAATCAATATGCAGGAACCCCGGTGGTACCCCCGAGTGGCTTGGAAGTGTAATACTTGCAGTATTCATTGCTTCAATTGTCTGTCTAACGCTGGTCTACCTCCTTTCATATGTTCATATTTCAGGTCTGCAGTCTATCACAGTTTCTGTCACCTATTGTACTAGCCTTATCAATTTTTCTCAAAGAATTATTTGTGATTTTTCATGCAATTTACCTTGGTCTAGTGGTTGAGAGCTTTGTCTTTCAACCATAAGGTCCTAAGTTCAAGGCTTTGCATATGCGGTGTGCATGCATTTGTGTGCGTGCGTGGGGAAAAAAAATCTGTAATGTTTTATTGATTTTGTGTTCTCCTTAAATTTTAATTCTAGCTTTTGTGCTCTTATCATTAGTAAACGAGTTTTCCACCTAGTAATTTGTGGTACAATCACCCTATCATCTGTTTACTTTATTATTATTTTTTTATTTTTATTTTTATTGTGTTTTCTCCCGAGTACACTGTAAATAACATCGTATATTTTGTTAAGAAAACCTTTATATGGACCTATTGTTTTATGGTCTTGAAAGTGAGTATGTGGATTATGATAGACAAAATTAATGCAGCTTTTATTTTCCACCGAATAGCAGTCAGCACCGTGGACAAGCAATTCCTAGGCTAGCTGATTTTTTTTTCTGGTTTGGGAAAATGTGAAGTTTTTTATTTTCTCTCATTTTTTATAACTGATGTACCAAGCAAATTTATTAGTTTTGTGTTTTTATGAGCAAAGCTTTATGCTGAGTATCATTCCTCTTGGTGGATAAGAGAGATTTCAATTCACAAGAAAATCTATCAACACTCATCTAGATTCGCAAAACCTGAAGCTAGACGATTCAAATAAATAATTTTATGATTTTCAGAATCTACAGGTGCTTTACCCTTGATTTTATTGTTTTTTTTTCTCTATACTGTTGTATTTTCTTTTCTTTGGATTTGTTGGTAATTGCCATTATTACACTATATCATTATCTCTAATTATAACATTCTGCATAAAAAAATTTATAGAACTATATTCAGCTTATGTTGTAGCAATCTGTTCTTTACTTCGCACTTGTTTACTAGATTGTGCACAACTGGACCTCCAAGTGGTAAATATTCTGCACAGCTGGACCTTCACCGGGTGGTAAATTCTTAAGATTTAGCAGGTTTAGTAACGATTATCAATTTAAGTGGAGTAGGATGCATTATATATTGTTTTCTTGAATTGTCATCAATCGCATCTGCTACTCACCAACCAAGGCCTCTCTTATATTCCTAAGGTTTATGATCTTTGATTTGCTTGTAAGAGGCTGTCCTTGACATCTTATTCAATGCTTTAAATATGACAATATATTTGTTACTGTTTTCATCAGTTCATAACATTTTGTAGGAGTTTCTAAATAATAAAATCTTTTGTAGATGTCAAGGGATCAATAGTGCTTTCAGTTTGTGCGCTGATGGGATTATCATTGATTGCCATCGCAACTGGATTTTTTCCTACATTCACTGAGGACATTGGTCGTACTGTTAATGTAAGTTTTAATACTCTTTGGTTGCTTTTTATGGGAGTCATATTGCCTACACATTCTCTTAGAATGCGGTATAGCGCAGTTGTTTAAATACTAACAAATTGTTCCATGCATTTGCACACTAACTCGCTTTAGCTCCGAGGTTGTTGTCCGATACGACGTAAATCCTCATATCTTTCAGGTCATTTGTATGACCATGTCACGCAGGTATAAGCCCTAAATAATAAAACTTACAAAATGAAACATCAAATAACATATTCTCAAAATTGAAGCCAAACAATAGTATAGTTTGGGAAATCATCGAGCTTCTCCTGAGGATCCGTGACTTCCCCTACTTTTCTTTCTTTTGATTACAGAAATAAATATTCTCATTTGGTTCTTTTCCCACTTCACTTTTTTATGTCCAAACTTGAAAACCCGAAAACTTTGAATTCATGAAAGACAAATACATCTGATCATTATCGAGAGTTATCTTAAGTGATTTTGGTTATTTGAGAGATAATTAACTTTAGGGGTTTACCTCTATAGGAAGCTTTAAGAACCCAGGTAATATAAACTCTATCTAAATTTTAATATTAGGTGGAGGAACTTATTGGTCAAAATAAAAGGTTTGCAGACCAAAACGGATGTCATGAATTCATTAATTTATTTAATCGAGTTTCACTACCAAGTAATGTGTCTATTCCTCGGAATAGGCGCATTACTTGCAGTGCTGTGCTCGTTTATTTAAATTATTAAATTAATGAGATTCATACAATCTCATTTTTCAAAAATTAAAATATTATTATTATTATTATGTATATATATATATATATATATATATATATATATAATTAAATAAAAATCACAAAGAGTTTTTAATGACCGAGAGCGATCAAATTTTTTAAACCCACCATGCGAAGAAAGGCGTGCATGTGGTACATGTTGTAAACACCTCCCAAGCAAGTATTTGCATGTTGCATCGTGCATGTTGCCTATGAGTTTTTCTCACCACGCTAAGAAAGGCGTGCATGAGTTTCGCTCGTCGCGACAAGCACGTAACAAAAGGGTTGTCATGATAAGAAAAGTGTGCACGAGTTCCATTCGTCGCGTCAAATACGTCGCATAAGCGAAACACGTCGCAAAAGCCGCCTATGAGTTTCCCTCGACACGCTAAGAAAGCATGTAAGAGTTCCGTTCATCGCATTAAAGGCGAGGCGCTAGGCTTTAGAGGTTGAGAAATACTACCTTTTATACCTTTGTAGATCGATGATGGGCGCGAGATGAACCTATGCAATTCTCTCCATACCACTTGTATTTACACACAGAAATATGCACATGTTATTTTCCACTCATCACTCTTCAATCACGCACACACACACACACAAACATGATTTGAGCTAAGCTTACAAAACAGAGGATAATCTCCTTACAGCCAGGCAAAAATGCAACCTAAATCCTAATATTTTGCCATAATCTCAAACAAGTAAGCTTAATGCAGCTAAACTCAAGCGGGGTTTAACTTAATTTTGGCAAAACAACAAACAAAAAATGACAGAACAACATCACATAATACTCACATTTCCACGCCTTTCCTTTTTTTTTTATTTACCTTAGTGTGGCGTTGCTGTTGGAGGAGGAGGAGAGATGGGGGATAAGGGCTGCTGGTTTGGACTTCGGACTGTGCGGAGAAAAGAAAGGCAGGAGTGAACAGTAGAGAAGCGTGAGATGGGCTCTTCGGTTTGGACAGGGAGAGAATTGAGTGACAGGAAGGTGCTGCGGTTGGAATCGGGCTGCTGGCGGGAACTGGGTTTTGTTTGGAGCGGCTGGGAGGAGAGTAGAGGGCGGAGAGTTGCTCGGTAAAAGTGCAGCTGCGAGAAAAGTAGGTGGAACATTGAGGGAGCACGGTAAATGAATGGGAGCATGCCTGCGAGTGGTCGTCGGCATTTGGGCTGCTTCCTAGCGGGAGAGGTTGCCGGCGGGAGTTGTAGCTGAGGCGAGCACGTGAGTGGCGAGAGAGAGTGGGTTTGGTGTTGGGTCCAGTGAGGGAAGAGGGTGAGATTGGTGGCTGGGTTGTTGCTGACGACCAAGAGGAGAGACGTTGGAGTTATACGGCTCATCAGAGGAGTCTACTTGTGAGGAGAAGGGAACCTAGGGATCGGGAATGGCGTGTGGAGTTAGGGCATGTGTGTATCTCGGCTGAAGGAAGAGGAGAAGAGGGAGGCTTGTGTGATTTGTGGGAGAGCTCTCTCGGTGCGTGGACGGGAAAGGAGAGAGTTAGGTTTAGTTTGGATTGTGTCGGAGAGTTTGCAGGCGGTGAGAGTAACCGGAGAGAGGACTTACAGACAAAGGGAGTGTCAGTGGGAAGCGTGAGCTCTGAGAGGATGGGGCAGGCAGTCTGTGGCTTTTGAGGGAAGAGACGGAGGAGATATGTGTGTTGGGAGAGCAGCTGGCTAGGAGTTTCTTTTTGTAGGAGGGTTGGAGGTGCGGGAGAAGGAGCACATTTTCTGTCCGGATTCCTGACGTAGCTCTACATGAGGCAGAAGTTATTTTCTGAGTTATTTTCAGATTATTTCAGAGTTATTTTCAATATCCAGAAATAACCCAGAAATAAACGACGGTCTTTATTTTTGGGTTATTTCTAGGTTATTTCGGTATTATTGAAAATAACCCAGAAATAACCTGAAAATAATTCAGGAATAACCTCCGCGGCACATAGAGCTACGTATAGAGCTACGTCGTCAGGAGTCCGCACAGAAAAATTAGGCGAGAAGAAGAGGGTTGTGCGAGAAGCGTAAGGGAGAGAAGTATGCAAGTGAGAACCGTTAGGCCTAAGGATTTTCTGCCTTCAGTTTTTTTTTAATTATTTACAAATGAGATGGAGGATCCTGATTGACTGGAATAGGCGGTTGATCATGGGTAAGAACAGTGGGATAGTAGTGACTACAGAAGATTGTAAAAAAGATTTTTATTTTATTTTTTTAAAATTTCCAACTTATGTGCCTCAATTTGCTCATTATTGACTCATGCATAAAAGCCTTGCGATATGGGTGTCTTTCTAAGCAAATTGGACATTCTGGGTGAAATGACGCTCGTTTTGCGAACGGGCATCATTCAGACAAATTTTAGTAACGATCGAGATGAATTAGGTCCAAACTGTATGTTTTGCCCCGACGATCCATTGATTTCACCGTACTTTTTCATTTCGATCGTAAAAGACCCTTGGATGATTTAGATGTTATGAACGCAACGGAGTCCTTTTTGCAAATGGGCAGTTTTGAGTTGTATTCAAGCGTGCTCGAGGCATTCCAAATTTGATCACATAATGTCACTCTTCATTAACTGCTCTCACCATGTCTGATTGACTTGTCTTACGGAGTATGTGAGGGCAAACCATAATTTAATATATTATTATATGCAAGATAATAATTATTCACATGCTTTAAAAAACCTCTAAAATACTCATTCATTTAGTTTTTTCTAGCATAAACAAAATTTGACCTCTCTATCGTCATTTAATTGAACTGTTTGATAAACTAAAATCACTAAAACTAATTCATAAAATTATTGATATTAAATTAAAAACACCTTGAATCAACTATTTTATCTAATTAACGCATTAAACTTATAAATTTTTTCTTTATTTTTTTTAAATGTCTCGATTCACCTATTCTTCAAATCCCAAGAATTTATCATTCTTCAACGTATGGTTAATGTAATCCTCACACAAGCATTTATATAATTAAAAGTTCTTCGATTAAAATGTCTTGTTTTAATTTGACATTTTATTAACATTATATAAATAAAACATATATTTAATTCATTAATTAATTTAATAAAAACCCTAAAATTCCTTAAAAATCCTTCCGCTGCCCTCAATTCTTTCATTTCCCTCATACAGGAAATTTGCGTCACTTTACCCCCTCAATATCAGGACTTAATAGCTTCAATCCTTATTCAAGTAAACTTTCTTTTAACACTATTTAATAAATACATACACACCTGTATATTTATATAACATTATATTAATTAGCTTTATTAAAATATCAAATCTATCTTCATAACAGCAGGCAACTGCCTACCGCATGCTCGAAGGTACCTCTCCCTCCTCCTTCAGCCACGGCGCAGCACGGTCTTCTCTTTCCCCCACAAAACATGAGCTTCTTCTCCTCTGAAAGGGGATCGAGCTCTTCTTCCTTCGAGAAGCAAGGCACGAGATCTCGACTCCAACACCTCTCACAAATGACGTCGCCTCCTCCTTCCTTTACACACGAGTTCGGCTTCCTCACACGCACACACAAAGCTTATTTGCACTAGGCTTACCTTTGACAGTTTTCCTTACCCTTAACAAAGCCGCACACTTCTTCATGGGGCTTCTTCTTCTTCTTCTTCTTCCTTTACCTTCAATTGTGGTGTCGCCGCCACCACCTCCTCCTTCCTCCTCTTTGTTTTCTTCTCTCGCTCTCTTTCCCGTTCGCTCGCTCGTTGAAGGCTACGGGTGAAAGGACCAATAATATTGAAACCGTCTGATAGTTATTTCGAATCGATCTTATTTTTATTTATTTATTTATTTATTATTATTATTTGTTTAATTTTAATAATTACAATTTGAAATAATGTGGATTCACTCACTCTTTCAGTTTGGAGAATAAATCAGCTAAAAGGGACTAAACCCATTATTTGGGAAAATTACTTTCACAAAAAGAGAAACAAACCTCAAGTTCTTTAAATCAATTAAAAAATGCAAATCTTCAACTCTCTTAGGCATTTCCAGCCATAAGCTTTTTACAGCTACAACATGAATTATTGAAAGAAGTGATTACATGTGAGGCAGGAACCAGTTGGGAAGTTCAATTGAATGAAAGGATGGATGGGTACTAAATAGTGGTTAAACACAATTACATAATATGATTAGTGGGCTGACAATAACTGTGAAGACTAATTTTCAATAAATTGTTATTTCACCGTCTAATTTAGGGGTAGCACTACTTATTTCATGCATCTAGAAAGTAAAAGGTAAAAGAAAGATGGCAGTTCTATAAGAATTTCTCAAGAGTTTCCCCTTGAACTCTTCAATCCACCTTTCTTGTCACCAGATGAGGTTTGATTTCCATCAGCAAAAACTAAATTTGTTACCATAAGAGCTAATGTTTCATGCTTGTCTACTATTAACTAATTCATCTTCTTTTATTTTTGTATTTTTAGTCTTTCTTATTTCCAGTCGGAATGATCTTTAGACGGGAAGTTGTTTAAATAGTCTTTCTTTTATAATTACATTTTGAATATTTTTGCAATAGAATTTATATCCTGGCTATTTATTTTTTTATATAATATATGGAATCCTGCTTGTCTTAACAACTTGATTCAATTTTTTTGTCGTTCAGGTTGTGCATGTTGTGGAAACCAACAGCTATGCTCACAATCAGGAACCATCTTCGTATGTTACGTTATTTTCTTTGACTCCAGGTAACTTAGTGGAGGAATCCAAGGGATTGAAGGATGAGGAATTTGATTGTGGAAGGAAAACTACTCTTGATTTTATTTCCTTCACTGTAAAATATGGCTGTTTAAGCTTCAAGGATACTGATGCTGGATGGAATAAGTTGGAGATTCCTTTACTTGATGTTGAAAGTGACTCCACTGCTGGTTTTCGAACAACACGGGTTTTGGTCGATACTAAACACTCCAAGCGATGGTCACTTGCCATCAACACTGAATTAATCACTGATTTTTCGATTGAAGGTGAGAAAATTCATTTGTTAAACAGCAGTTTATTGTCATTCTATATGCTCTCATCTTTCGGCATTTTCATTCATGACCTTGTTATTTACTGAAGTTCATCAAATTTAGCTTCTATTTTGGGAGCTTCATCTTTAAACTTAAATCACCATTTGGCTCATATCCACAGGGTTTGTTTCTTGAACTGTAAACCTATCTCTAGGTAAAACCATTAATTTGAAGTTGATCGACCAATCTCATATAGCATTATTTGAATATTATATTTCTCATTGTTGTTTATGAATGATTTCAAATCTTTTGTTGCAAAATAAATTGCTACTGCTTCATTTCTCATCTCTTTTCCTTCTATGAATCAGTGGATTCAGAAGAATTGGTACCAACTGACGAAAAGAGCAGTGTAGATGGATGGCATATCATTCAATTCTCAGGAGGGAAGAATTCTCCAACAATATTTCATTTTAACCTCATATGGAGAAAGAATGCTACCCAACATAATAATTCTGAGAACTCTCCTCTTTTGTTAAAATTAAGAACAGATGTTAACAGAATCACACCAAAGATTGCTAGAGTTCTGGAGAAGCTTCCTCCCTGGTGCTCCCTCTTTGGCAAATCCACTTCCCCTTACACATTGGCCTTTCTAACGAGCCTTTCATCTAACTTCTAAATTACTTGTATTTTATGGCATTAACTTATAAATGTGATATTTTCATATATGTCCTTGGGTTCATGGTGTTAATTTCAATTATTTATGTACCTGTGAATTGATAAGGTTCTGTTGGAGGAGATTTGTTTTTTCACTTGTAATTTTGCTGAGTTTTAGCTGAATGTACCCAGAAGAGAATAGAGAATTTAAGGCATGGTAGTTGAAGTGCACTTCTTTTTTTCTCTTTTGCAAGCATAATGTAAACATCTTGCTCACTTTCTTGAGCTCTTGCTTTCATTGTGTGCTCTTGTTTTGTTAGCTGATGGTTTCGACGACTTCTTTATTTAAAATGTTGAGCACAAAGTTCACAACAAATCTTTGGCTCAATAGTGTTTGAAGGATAGTTGCCTATTAGTAATCTCACAGCAAAGGTGACATAATGTTCATTCGGTCTAAAGAGTGTTGGAAGTAGATATTAATGCTTATTGAATGATATTATTGGGTGTCAAAATGAAAGGAATATCAAGTCTATATTTATGACTTGTTTATAAGCTTACTTGAAATCAAGTACCTTAAAGTTGTTTAGTTATGCATTGAAGAAATGGTATAGTTTTCTATAATGAAAAGAATAAATTTTTTTGACTAATGATTTATAGATTTATGTGAATGGTTTTCGTGTGCAAATTATTTTGCCATGCTAAGCATGTGTTTAGGGTTGTTGACGAGCCAATTTTGAGCTGAGTTAGGACAGGCTTGAAATTGGCACGAATAGTTGAGTTCAGATTAAAATTGACTTGTGGTAATATTCAACTTCAAGATAGCTCGACTCGAAATTGAACCAAACTAGCTTAAATTTGAGTTACTTGGACCCATTCTAGCTCGAAATTGACTCAAAATCGAAATAAGATGGCTCAAATTGAGTTCATTTAGATATGTTTCAGCTCAAAATCAGTTCAAAGATTGCTATATTTGATTTTATTTAGTATTATATATAATTTTTAAAATTAAAAAACAATCCGAGCCGATTTGTGTATGGTTTGAAATAGGTTAAAAAAAATTAGATTCAAAATTTTGTCTTATAACTTCTCTCATTTATTTTGATCTAATCCAGAACCAAGCTAAAATTTGAATTAAATTCTAATTTTTCGAGTGATTAATTATTTTGAAGCTAAATTCAGTCTTACATGTGTTGGATGTGAAGATCTAGCATCTAATCATGCAAATCATTGTAGTTTTCAAAGTAGAAAGGTCTCTTTCTTTTTTTAAACCAAATGCCAAGACTTTCTTTGCACTTGACAATCAAACAATTGAAAGTTTAGCCTTCTTAAAGCAAAACTACACTCAAGTCCTATGTTAAATCAAATTTAGGTAATTTATAATAAAAATTGATGTGACTCAAGAAAGAAAAAAGGCCTATAAAATTAATCATAATCATTATGTTGTTGTTAATTTAATTATTTATAAAAAGCATTGATCAACTTATTAGATGGTTACAAAAAAGCTTTAGTCACATCAAATCATAAATAAATCACACTAGTCATCTAGCCTCTTGTGATCTACAATAATTTTTAAAATAAAATTAAAATATATATTTATTATTTATGACATGTATTTCGATTACATTGATTTTTTATTTGTTATCATCCCCAATATACAATTTATATATTTTACAATATAATTTTATTTTTATGGCACGCACATTTATAAGCTTCTTAATTTTTTATCTAAAATTTTAGAGTATAAATATATAATTTAAAACAATAAACTTATTTATAATTAATAAAAATGCTTAATTTTTTATGAGGACTAATGATTTTCTAATATCATTCTAATAATTGTCGCTATGTATATCATTTAATTTTTTAATTTAATTAAAATAAACTTTTGTAATATCATTATAATGTATTATGCTGATAATTAAAATAGAACAATTTCTCGTAAGGCTATGCATGTAAGTTGTTTTGCTTTCAAGCAATTCATTTATATTGAATCAAATTTTTGAAAAATTATACCCTCAACTGACATATTGCAAGAAAAATATTGCTCAAGGAAAATAATTTTATTATTATCATTATATATATATATGTGTGTGTGTGCTGCATATCACAACCTGTTGGTTGACATCTATGGTATAAGAGACGAGATTTTGGTAGATCGAATGGTTCTAATCGGGACATGTGTCGATAGACAAGCCTCCACAACAATAGTATATAAGGTATCTAGAGGACGACCAAATGATAATAGTGGACCAGTGAGTGATTGGTCAAGCAGTTTAACCAAATATTGGTTGAACATGTTGTCAATGAACTTGAGGATTGCTCTTATAGAGGACGACTAGATAGAAGGAGACCCTCCAAAGCTCCATCAACAGAATGTCACGAAGAAGGATCGATTGAGGGTTGACCGGTTAAAGAGGGTTGACCGGTTAAAGAGGGTCAGGAGTGTAATTGTCATTTCATAATATTCATAGTCACTTATAAATAGAAGAACATCAAGTGTAATAGGAGTGGCGGAAAACATATATGAAAATAACCCATTTCTCAGTGTGATTGTTCTACCCACACTCTATTCCTTATGTGTGATTCACGAATAAATGAGGTTCAACAACATATAAAGACATTGCCCCATAAATCTATAATTACGAAAATACGCCCTCAATACCAAATTTTAAGAGAATATATTTAAAAAATATTTTTCAATTGAAAATTCCTTCATTTATTAACTGTAAAGTATTTATTTAAGTAAATCAAAATTAAACTTAATTTAAAAAAAAGATTTGCATTTGATGGATAGGCAAAGGTTGGTATGTATGTAAAAAACATGAATTGAGTGGTATGTGTGTAAATCTTTCTTAATTATATTTTGTTGTGAAGTAAATCGCTTTATTAATGATTACAATGAAATTGCAGCTCAAAGTAGTTATAACTAATTGATTAAGTTGTTGTTAATTAAATTGATTAATTAATGATCACAATAATCAAACAGCCAACAACAATACAAAGACAAGCATTAATTAATTAATTAATCGTTTATTGTGTGCTTCAAGTTTCACTCCATAGAAAATGAAAGGGCAAAAAGCGCAAATATCTCAAAGATTTGGTGGGCCATTTTAAATAAAATAATCAACTTATCACCAACAAAGATAAGAAAAATTTAAGTGCTAAACACTTAAATCTTATGTATTTAAATAATTAAAACTTAAATTTTAATTTTTGCGCATATACCGCCTTATTTATGTATATGTCAAATCCAATTTTATGTGTGAATCACAACAAAAGAATAGTGCTGTGACAGTCTTGTTATTAGTCATATGACTAGTCTATGACAGTCTTGTTATTAGTCAGACTACAATTGGGCGGTGTCTGAGTCGGTGGACCTTGGATAATCTGACCTTTAATCAATCCGCTTGATCGGTCTCTGATCGATGGACGCTTGATCGGTCTCTGATCGATGGACCTTTAATCGATTATCCTCTCTTATTATCAGTCGATCCTTAATCAATTATGGGTCGCCCGCTTGATCAGCCTAATGTCCAATTATTCTTGTTCGGATATCCTCACATTATTTAATATGCATCTTTTGACACGCACATTCTTTCCATTCGTCAAGTCCACTGAAGCTCGGGACAAGAATATTTTTGTCGCAACAACATGAAAAATGTAAATTTTATATTTTAGAAGTTAAAATAGTGTTTTTTTTTTTTTTTTTAAATGTGATTTGGGTGTAAGGGCCCGTCATAATTATTTTGCTGCTCATTCCCACGTGCGCCGCACGTGATGTGTTGAAAAATTCATTATTATTTTCTGCACTGGGTCCCAACGGCACGTTGCGGTCGCCGACTTTCGTTGACAAAAAAAAAAACAATAAACAATTCGTCATAAATTACTTGAAAAAAAAATTCTCTTAAATAAAAACTTATGAGATTTTCGAAAATTTTAATTGATGGACGTAGGAAAATAATTAAATTTTAATGCTTTTTTTTATTTATGAAAATGTCACTCATCGATTATAATGAAAAGGAATTAATAAATTCATTCTTGCGACAATATTAATTGAAATTATTAAATTAACTCAAAAAATATTAAATTCTACATATTATATAGATTATTTACATTTCAAATTGAATAACTTCTGTCTCCACTAGATGAGCACATGTGAGGGTGCTTACAATGGTAGGAAGTTTAGGCAAGATTGTCATATATGAGAGAACTCGGCAAACAAATGTCTTGAGATAATGCTTTACTAATGGAACATTTACATACAAACCACTCAATCCTTATGTATTTACATATCTATCACCTAAACTTTAATTATTTACATAACATACCTTCTTACCTATGTATGGAAAACAGTCTATTTCCATTAAAAAAAAAAGTTAAAATGGTGGTTTTTTTTATAGGACATGAAAATTTTCATCGGTATAAATGTAAATAGCAAAGTATAGATGTTAGATATGTAAATGCATAGCAATTGGGGGGCATTTATGTCAGATTCTTTCCAAGCAAGACTCTTTCATGTTTTATTCAGCTTCAGAATTATCAATAATTCTGTCCCATTCCTCTTTGCCTCACCACTCTCATTGAAATGGTAATATTAAATTACATGTAAAAAAAAAAAAAAAAGAGAACCTTTTGGACATTATTCAAGCAAGGCCACCAACAATAAAGATATTTGCATTTTTTTTTTGGAAATTAAAATAAAAAAATAAAAAGATACAAATCCATCAAAAGCTGCAAATACAAATTGCTGAGAGCTATATTTGCAAGCATGGAATGAAAGCTAAATACTGAGCTATAATCTTTAGAATGCTCAAAGAACAGATCTATGACAAAATCAAAGTTGAATCAAACTTACAAAAAACTGCTCCTTTAGCTGTTCTTCTAGCAGGACAATTCTCTCCTATTTTCCAATGTTACTGCAACTGGAATCCATTGATATTGTTAGTCTCCTTGCTACGTTCATGAATTTTCTACACATTAACAAAATATATCAGCATAGATTTAAACTCATAAACCTTCAAAAAACAATAATTTACTATATTATATTCATCATATAAGTTGAAATGGTTAGAAATTAATCCCAATTTCCTTTACAAAATAGCCTTAAAATCATCATTTTCTAAAATATGATTCTCATCTCCACACAACACAAACAAAAGCAGCCCTCGGAAGAAGTCTGAAACTTGAACAATACATGAAGACAAAAGACCAAGATTTTAGTGAAATTGTATAAATTCCATAAAACTCACGCAAAAGGTTCATCTTTGGGGTGCTTCACTTCGCCAGCGGTGTCTCTGTAAAAGACACGGCTCGTTAATTCCGATCTTTCGATCCCAAACATGTTTGTCAATCTCCCATACATCTCCTCATACGAATCGAACGCTGAGAGATCGAGAGTGTGGCCTACATCCTCGGACTCCATGAACACCTTGCAATGAACCAACTCAGAACCACTATCATTCTCATTCAGATCTGAATGCAAAGAAACCTTAACAGAAGGCGAATTGTCATCCCCCATGTTATTTTGATGAATATCATGGTTTACATCCAAAGAGCTGTTTATGCTGAGGGAGAGCTGCGGTTCAGTGAATATTTGTTTTCCAAAGAGGATGAGCTGAGGTTTCTTCGCGTTGGATTCTTCGTTTCCTTCATTACTCGTGCTTCGAGGAGGATAACCGATGCTTAAGAAGTTGGATTCATCTTCGTAGTTTGGAGAATTTGAAGCAACATGAATTCCAGAATAGAACAGCCCAGGCTGCAACTTTCTGAAGTGGAGTTCTGGTAGAATTTGCCTGGCTCCCTGTATGCTAGCTGCAGGGGTGGTGCCATCTTGGAGAAGGGGACTTTCAGGGTTTGGGAGGAAAGGTAGGCTTGGAATTTGAAGATCGAATGGGGAATCAAGATGATGGGTGATTCGAAGCTTTTTCTGTGGAGGCGAGAATGGTTTGAAATGGATGGATGTCATGTTTGATACCAGTTCCACCGACCACGGGCTTACACGGGTTACATTCTGCAAAAGATCGGGCTCATCCCATGAAACCTGCAAATGACATTTTTAAAAAAGAGTTAGTTATGGCTTAAATGGATGATCAAATGCAAAAAATAAAAAATTTGTGAATGAACAATATAATATTTATGTGAATGTCCCAAAATGTCATTCACATTTTGCATTTTAGGGAATGATAAATGTTAAGTTATGGAGCCTAATTTTTTTTTTCTCTGAGAAGAAAATGAGTTGCATAGATTTAGTCGCAGGTAGAGAAATTAGTGTTATGTAACAACATAATCAAATCATAGTTAAGTATATGGTGGAAACAACAGGACATAGCGATCAATTTGTTAAACACGTAAAAAAATTTGAAACATTTTGTGCAATTATTTTCTTTTCTTCATCCTAGGCTCATGCATTTTACATATATAAATCTATACCTCAGGAAACAAAAGGTGAAATTTCATCTCAATAGCATATAAAAATCCTATGACATAAACACATTATCCTATGGAGAACAAAATATCATCTATGAAGCATCAATAGATAATGGGCACACAAATATTGTACAAGCAACAGCCTAATTGGTAAATGCTCAGCAAATTCACAAAGAAAAACTCTAGCAGCCTAAACTAGAAACAAATATTGCAAAAACAAGATAGTAAATAAAGAAATATATGCTATAAAATGAATCAGTAAGATAAATAATAAGAGTAGAAACTTTATTGTCTTATAATGCAGGCAACAAACCTCGAGTAATCTCCAAGGAGAACCAGGCCATCTCATAGGACAAGCAACCTGAACTGCTGATACTGTCCCCATAAACCAACTTATCCTTGAGGAGTCCTCAGTCTCAAAAGCCATCTTAAATCTCATTCCTGGACACCATTGGACTCTCATGGCAGATCTCACCGCAGGTTCCTTCACAACAAACTCTGATTCACTGCTCCTCGGATAGTAAACAGCCTCAAAGGGCTTCCCATAAGCTGCAAGCGTTGCTGCCTCCATTACAGAATCCGCTTTCAGTTTCCCCTTCCCCTTACTGTTTGAATCAAAACTTATTCTAATTCTGTCGTCATCATCCCTAATCATCCTTCTATCCCCCTCCCGTAAGAAAGCAGTTAGACCCCCAAAGGTACAGTTTTTATGATTCCAACCTACAGATAGATCATTAATAAACTTTGCTCTTCTAATCCCTACACAAAGATCGCCATTATCAGTTCTCAAGAACACAACAGAATCGCCAGCCACAAGCTTCTTCTCGTTCACAAAATTGCTCCAACCAGTCGTGAGCAAGTGCCGGCGAGGTGTTCCTCGATAAATATGCCTAAATTTCCATATCTTGCCATGTAGATCCTTGACAAGAACCATCTGAACAGGCGGCATGGCCGAGTAGTCCAATCTTGGGAATATAGTTTCTGCACAGTATCTCGGAACGGAGAAACCACCGCCATTATTAGCATCAGATTGGGTTAAAGTCTTGGCAAACGATATAGGTTTTTCTTGTATGTCTAACCCATTGCTTCCTACTGAAACTCCTTCTTCTTCAAAATGATCTAGCTCGTTAGGTCTTAAGGGAACCATTCTTATCTCAGCGAAAACCTCATCGGTGTCAGCATCAGCCTTATATTTTACAGATAAAACCCGGCAAAGAATCAGAGGAGGAATTTTCATGGAGCCATCGAATTCCACGGAGCTTTTAGCGTGCTCAGCATGGCCCTGAGGGCAATAGTAAACTAGAGAATTTACCAGCGGCATCTGCACCATACCTCCAGCACAAGCATGCCATAATTGGGAATCCAAGCAATCTTCAATGTCCGCCATTCTCTTCGTTGGAAATCCTGTAAATAACAGAAACAAATACATTAGGCTCTTGAATTTGATCATTTTGGGGCTATTTAGTAACAAGATTAACCAAGATTTAGCCAAGATTTATAATAAACCTTAAATCTTACTGATAGCTGAATCCCATTTTCCACCCTTTTGGTCCTACCAGCAATCGGATTCGGAAGATTTACAGACTGTAGCAGCCGGGCCTTCTCCTTCTCGCCGTGATCTCCTCTTGCGCTTAGTTCAGAACGTAGATTGTCGTCTACAGTGACGGCGATTGAATCTCCGCTCCCAGCAGTTGCCGGCCGAGTTCCGACCTCCTCCGATGAGTTCAACGGCGGCGGAAAGAGAAATGGTGAGGGCGGTGCGAGGAGAACGTCAAGATCGAGAGGTGCACTGTAGATGAAGAGCAGAGGAAGAGAACGCCAAGAATGAGAGAGAATGAGCGACATTTTAATTCTATAACAATTTAATATTTTGGAGCAATAACATACAAACCACCCCCAAACATTAATATTTACAAATCTACCATTCTCTTTCGCTCATTTTTCAAATTCTCAATCAAATATCAAAATTTAATATAAAACCTCAACTCATATTTTTCATTTTATTATATTCTAATGCATCAGTTCCGTGGTTCAAAAAATTATATGAGTATTTTATTTATAAATATCAATATTTTAGTTGATCTGTATGTAATTATCCCTAATTTTTTTTATTTTATTCATCAAAATAAAATAAAAAGAATAAATAGGATATTAAGAACCTAAATACATATTTTCTAAATAGTAAAGTGTCAAAATGGTCTCATAAAATTCAAATTCGATCATTTAGTCTCAGAATTTATAAATGTGTCAAAATAATCCCCAGCTATTTATAATGAACTCTTATAGTCCTTTATAGGACTATTTCAGTTACAATTTAAGAAATTTAGGGACTACTATAACACTTCCATGGACTCTAAGATTCATTTCTTAAGCAAATATTTCTCCTAAAAATTAAAATTGCATGATCAAAATTTGAGTAAAGAAAAAGTATAGAAAAAGGTTGATTTTATGAAGAAAATTTCAGTATTTGTAAATGCTTTAAAAAGAAGTTAAATGCTCAACCTTTTACTTTAAACAATGAAAAAGCTCTTAAAAAAGAAGAGATTTCTTGGGCAAGATCATGAAAAGTCGCAGCCTTTGGCACTGCACATAAATAATGGAGGAAGACGTTAGACGAGAAGGTACCCGGACAAAACTAATATTTGAACTTTATGCGCATTTGTAGCCGCAACACTTTACAGGGTTCAATGCGTAATAAATTAATAAGTTGAAAATTATATAATTTTTATCTAAAATATCGTATTCGTGAGTTTTTTTTTTTTTTTTTTTTCAAGAAAAAAAAATTGCACCGAAAAATATTTTACATCTGAAAAGAAATGATTTTTTTTTCTTGGAGCATTTAAATAATGCCACTTAATTTATATGTATTCTAATACATAAAATTTAATTTTCAAGAAAATATTCAAATACTACTTACATCATACAAAATATATTCACAATAGCTAGACATATATTCAACATTAATGTTGGTCCTGAGATACATTTAAATGTTAGATATTGCTGTGAGGGATGTATTGTTGCAATAATTAGAAATTTTTATTAAGAAATTTACGAGTCCAAATATCGAGCAATTATAATATTTTTGATAATTTCGAATCTATTAAAGTTTAAAAATTTTATTAAATTTTAAGTCCTAGAACCTAAATCATAATTAAGTCGTAATACGACCAATAATACTTTTAAATAATACACAAGATTACATTGGAGATGTTATATTTAGAATTACATGTAGAGTTTGATTGATATACTCTTTCGTGTCAGTAATAATAATAATAACAACAATCACGGTGGCGTAGATGATGATGGCGGTGAAAATACAATCAGTAAAAGAATATTATATTTTTCATATTTTTATATATGATACAACATCACAATTATAATTTTAATAATTTAATAATCAAATTAAACATCTGGATAAACAAATCAATAATAATTATAAAAGTGATCTAATTTGAGTTCCAATGAGCCAAATTATGCACTTAAAATATCATTAGATTATATATAAAATTAAATTTAAAAAACAATTTAATGATCTCATGATCTTGTATGCTTATAATAAAATCAAGTATCTTAGTAAGATAAATTTTCTAAACCGACTTCACTCAATATTGAGATTACTTAAGTATTTATGCATACATCTAAACCAACTGCCAAATTGACAAATTGACGAACTGTCTAATTGGTTGAACTAACAAATTGACTAAGTACCTAATTGGCTGAACTGATAGACAGATAAATTGACGAATTGTTTAATGAACCGACGAATTGGAAAATTGACAAACCTTCTAACTTATCAAACTGATGAATTGACGAACTGCTTAACCTGACGAGCTGTCAAACTGGCCAAATTGTCCACATTAAATTTTTGCGGGCAGTTCAGGTTAAAATTGTCTGACATGACATAAAGTTGTCAGACATGATATAAGGATACCAACACGACATAAAACTATCAGATATAACATAAAACTATCAAAACATGACATAAAAATATCAAACATGACATAAAGCTTAAATATATAACATAAAGCCGCTGAAAATAACTTAATATTATGCATATTTACATAATCATTTATATAAAAGAAATGCAGGATCCTATGATTTGTAAAGAGTGGTTCTTCCTCGAGAAGGGAGGAGGTTTGGTGGAGTTTTTTTTCCTATTTTTTATTGTAACCAAATTTCAATGATATAAAATGGGTTATAAAGTCAAGAGGCAGAACGCCCAATTTCACTCCTACATGACAAGTTGTTGTGCATGCCTCTACCTTTATCTCCTCCTCCTCCTCTCTCTCTCTCTCTCTCTCTCTCTCTCTCTCTCTCTCTCTCTCTCTCTCTCTCTCTCTCTCTCTCTCTCTCTCTCTCTCTCTCTCTCTCTCTCTCTCTCTCTCTCTCTCTCTCTCTCTCTCTCCATCTCTTTGCTCGATGTTAGTAAGATTTGAGCATAACCCACGAATAATACGGAACCCCACGTCAAAAAAAGTTTCAACAATTTAAATGTTAAATAAAATATCCATGATTAAAACAATAACATGGCCCTTTCTACGAATTATTTTGATACCCAGAAAAATACTAAATTATCATTCTTAAAAATTATAAATGAACTCTTATTATCTGCACAAAATGAAAAACTCAACTTGGAGATATGAAGAATTATAAACACTTGTTCTATAAATTACACGTTCATGACGATCTTATTCAAGTGATTATTTGGGGTGGCCGTAGCTTTTTATAAAAAATATCCTAAAGTTGTGGCAGAAAAATAATTTATTACAAAACTGTAATATGAAATATAACTATATTTTTTTTATGTCTCATTTATGAAACACTTCTATAATATCATTATATGTGCACATACAATAATGCAAAATTAATACTTAAATATTTACCTCTAACATGCAATAATATATAGTACAAATTAATAAAAATATATAAAAAAATAATCGAAAATTTATAACTAATATTTTTATGGGGTGATCTTATTTTATTTTTTGATGTTACGTTATTTTATGTTTCTGAAAATAGTGATGGATATATCTGTCGTGTAATGTGGGCCGGCGAGATGTGACTGTGATGTGCGCTTTGTCGTCTAAGAATAATAATCCACAATAAAATATGTGAAGTTAAAGAACACCGAGGACAAAGATTCCAGGATCTGGTTCGGAGCCGACAATGTCTGGGTCCCGCCATTTCATACAGCTCACACGTGATTTCATCATCCTCTTCGGGCCCATGTGAAAGGCTGTGCATGGCCCACCACTTCGGAGGACTCTTCTTATATCTGTTGTGGCCCATCATGAAAGTAAGAGTAGGCCCAACATTAATTATCATTATGAAACTAATTAGGTAGTCTTTCAAATCTTATTAATCTTTCAAACCTACTTGTCAAAAAGGGGAATTGTTCTGTCCGAACGACTCATAATTACGATTGTAGGAATTGCAGTGGGATCCACCGTGCCACTAAATATTTATTTTATTGTGTCATCAAGTTTGATTGTATATATATATATACATATATATATATATATGCATATATATATATATATAATGCAATATATATATATATATATATATATATATCGAACACCTGACTTTACCTTCTTATATTTGATATTTATAATTGTCATGTAATTTATAAATTTGTAATATGTAACTTATAATTTATGAGTTTTTATTATAATGGTACAAGTAATATTTATTTTACTTCATTTTAATTTGTAAATCTATATTTTGATAATTCATTCAATAAAAAAAAACGAACTATTTTTATTTAAACTTTTTTGTTTTTCATATCAATAATTACATTTGTTCGAATGAAAGTTTCGAGCCGGCTCATTATGTTTTTTAAGTCGGCTCAAGCATGGATTTCGAGCTAGATATGTAAGGTTTTTGAGCCTGGTTATTCGGCTTACGAGCAAAAAATGACATTCGAGCTGACTCGTTTAAATTTCGAGCCGATTCACTTACAATTCAAGCCGGCTTGTAAATTGTCTGATTTTAATCGGTATCAAATCAGAATTAAGATGACTCGAGCCATAAGCCAATTTCGAACCATTAAAATAATTTCGATCTCATTTCAAGCTGCTCCTTGATTGGCTCGAAATCGACTGCAGTATTAATAATGAAAACTCACGCATATTTTTTTTTTCAACCCAATTCTATCTTAGATTTTTTTGTGTTAAGTAAACTTGATTTAAAATAAATAAAATGATTATCTAAAGGCATTTGAATAATTTTTCTCTCATCATAGATTATTAAGTCTAATTAAAGTTAAATTAAGTTTTTAGTTTTTATGTATGCTAATAAATAACAAAATTTACTGTACCAATTAATCATTAAAAATAATATTATTAAAATAATTATATTAAATAAGAATTTAACATTCATTAATTAATAAAATAAACATTTATTTAATAAACTAATTATTAATTATTTAAATTTAATTAAACCACTAAATTTAATATGCAAATTTTTATTAATTAACTATTAATTAATTACGTATTTTTATTAATTTTAACTACTAATAAAAATTGACTCAAAATAAAACTGCAATCTTGTCTACCCCTTTCCCTCTCCTGCCGGAAACCCTCAGTCGCCATTAGAGTTGTCTCGGAAGCCAAAGATCTCCGAAACTGTCATTATTCGCCTCCTCCTCTTCCGCTTCTACACAAAACCATTAAGAAAGGTAACCCTCGTTTTTCTCTCCCTTCCTCCGACAAGCCTTCGCACGCTTCATCTTCTCTAAATCCCTAAATCCGTCTTCCAACGTGCTTTACTAAATCCTGGATTTAAGGCAAAGGGGAGGAAAAACAGAATTTGAGAGCACGGAGGATTTAAATATGTCATTTTTGCTGTTTGGCAGTAAATCCTGCTACCAAAAACCCCTAATGTGACAAAATTATTGGAAAGTTGGTTCATTTTATTGGTTCTGACTGTATGGCTGTGATTGCTAAGTAGTTGGTTCATAAACTTTCTCTGTTTATTTTTTATGTGTTAGCAAATTATTGTGATTGCACTTTATCCTCAAATCTCGGCAGCTTTCTTTCTGTTTTGTAACATGGGTTATAACTTCATAGCTGTCCATGATAAGGGATATGGGTAGAAGGGATTAAATATCATAGGCTTTAATTTTGGCATGTATGGACTAAAAACAATGATCAGTGCCTATTATTGCAAGTTTTGAACTTGCCAAATTGCCCAGGTTGAATATGATAAGAACTTAGAAGAAGATTCTATATGCTCTCAAATTTTAGAAGAAGAGGAATGAAATTGGGCATGGGTGGATGTAAATCATTGAAATAAAAGATTCTAGCATGCTTTTTATGCTAAAATTATTTGTGCAATCTAAACTCATTATTATCTTTTTATAATAGGATTTTTTACCCATACAAATGAAGTTTAAATAGTTCTTCTCAAAGTAGAAGTTAGAATGATAAAAAAAAAATTGTTAAGACCATGAAATCCTATAATCCTGTCTAATTAGGTGTATCAATAACTTCTTCCAACTTGAGCTATATGCCTTCGAATATTTTATGTTGCAGAATGACATAAGTTAGTAACTTTTTGCATTACAATCGAAGCAAGCTTTCAATTTGCAGGCACGAAGTTGTTAAATAGTAGGCACCATTTAACAAAATTGCCTCATTTAGCACTACATGTTCTACATTGTTTTGCTCACTACAAAATGCTTAACCACTTCAAATAAGCTCTAGAAGAGATACTTTTCATCAATCTATTGGGACTTCTTTTAAGAAAGGAGCTTCGTGCTGCATTAAGAATATTGATTCTTAAGAAGATTGGATAAGGCTATTGGTGATGATAGATTTATTTTCTTCTTGAAATCTCTAGTGCTAATTGATGTTAGTGATTTTGAATGGTTTGAAGAGGAATTTATGTTGGATCCTATTAGGGTGTTATAAGGGAGCTTAAAATGAAATAGATCTCAGATTTCTTATATAAAAATAACATTTTAACATTATCTCAACCGCTAGAGTACAAAAAAACATAGTAGGACAAGCAAATTTTCACATATAAAGCAAGACTAGTGGTAAAAAACTTTTATAAAAAGAAGGAATTGATTGCAGTGAGATTTTATTAATCTTTCTGTTCAACTACTGACTATCAATTTTTTTATCCTACTATATGAACTTAAAAAATGAATTTTGAGCATTTTGGGAAAGCTTAGTGATACAAGAAAATATAAATCAAAACTTGTAAAAAAAGGATTCCACAAAATGGCATTAATTTTAGTGAAACCTTTTTCCAGTTAAATTAAACTATGATTACTAGATTGACTTACACCTTCGATTGTTAAATGTCAAGATTGCTTTTCTTATTGGCTATTTGGATGATGTCTACTCAACCTTTTTGATTTGAAGTTCCCGATACCGAAATTCTTGAATGTAAAATGGCTTTAAAATATACTTGATTTTGGATCTAAAAAAATTGTTGGACATATGCATTATATATATAGTCTCTCTCTCTCTCTCTCTCTCTCTCTCTCTCTCTCTCACTCTCTCTCTCTCTATATATATATTGGATAGCATATTGATTGCAAGTATGTGTCATTGTTGATGATTCTCAAAGCAATTTGACATAAAAGGATTTGGAAGAAGCAAAAAAAATTTTGGGATGAGAATCTTCATGAAAAGGTGGTGTTTTCAAGCCATATTTGATGAACATATTGAGAAGGTTTTAAGCAGATTATACTTTTGAAAGTTGTAGTAAGTACTCTTTTGACTGTTCATTTTAAACCTTCAAAGAAATATTCATTTTAAATCACCTCAGACAGGCAAAGAGATTGTGTGTATGTTTGTCTGAAGATTTTAATACTTTAATTGTTGACATTGGAAATTTGTGAAATATTTTTTAGTTGCATGAAGAGATGATTGTTTGAACAATTTTGTTTGTTTAACATCTAGCGTGAATTGCAGTACTTTTTTTCGGGATGGAACAATTTCAGCCCAAATATCATTTTCCTATAGAATTATTGGAATATTAAATATCAATTTGTGAAAAGGATTGTTGGAAAAGGACATTCTATTTCTAAAGAAAATTAAAGGTTATGAGGGTGTGATTCACTTGCTTACAACGATAATGATCTTTGAGAAAGTCAGACTGTTCTACCTCTCATTAATAACATGGAGGTGTCATAGAAGTTCATTTCTATAATACAATACATAAAAATTTTGTGTCAACCGAGAGATTATTAGCATGTTAATCTCATTTTCCCTCTTATATAATCACAAATTCAAATGACTGAACCTAAACAAAATAAGCTTTTAATTCATTCATACTCCTATGCTTCGTTCTTATTCATGCATTTATCCTTGTTTCATTGAAGCTGAGAAGCATCATTATAGATATGGTAAGTTGAGTACAACAACAACAAAACCTTTATCAAACTAAGTGGGATCGACTACATGAATCCTTTTTCTCCATTGCGTTCTATTTAGTGTCATATTTTCATTTAATTCTAATTAATTAAGATCATTTTTTATATAATATGCCCAAGTCATCCTAGGTTTACCTCTGTCTTTCTTAACATAAGTCAAATCTAAAACATCTACTCTTCTAATTGGATCATCGGATGGTCGGCGTTTTATGTTACCAAACCATCTAAGATGACTCTATCTAATTTTTTCCGTCACTGAAGCTACACCAACCCTATCACGAATATATCATTTCGCATTTTGTCTTTAAGTGTAAAGCCACTGATCCACCTAATCATTCTCATCTCGGAACACTTAACTTAGTTTTATGCTTCTCTTTTAAAGGCCAACATTCAGCGCGATATAAAATTTTCCTTTTAGTCTAAGCGGTACTTTTCTATCACACAATAGGCCCAAAACATTCCTCCACTTCAACCAACCAACTTGAATTCTACTGACAACATTCCCATCAATATCACCATCACTTTGAACAATAGACCCGAGATATCTAAAGCATTCACACCTTTTAATATTTTGATCACCCATTGTTATATTTCTGTCACTAGAGTTACTACTACTAAAATTGCATCCCATGTATTCAGTTTTAGTTCTACTCAAATGAAGGCCTTTAGACTCCAACGTAGACATCCATAATTCAAGTTTTGCCTGAACTTTTTCTCTCGTTTTATCCACGAGAAGGATATCATTAGCAAAAGAAATGGAAAGTCGAGTATCTATTGAAAATTGATTCTTGTTTAATTTAGGGGCTTTGAAGCGAAATATCCGGCGTACTAAATTTGAATTATAGTGGCATAGCTTTTTGATTTTTTTAGGACTTACTCTGGTCGCTCAATGCCATCGAATCATGTAATATTTTGTTTTTTTCTATGTTATGTTTTTTGTTACAATATTTTGCATCATTTATACTCCCTATAGGGCTAAGTATTGTAGAACCATGGCGCCATTAATCCTCTTTATGGAGTACCAGGACTATTATTTTATCACTATTGCACATTCTATTCAACTTTCTTTAGTCCAATACCACGACCACTTTTACTTACTAGCAAGTTCAATTCATCATCTATATTTAGCACCTAAATTTCATTTTTTACATTAGTACCACCCAATTCTTTCGTTTCACATAAAAAATACCATCATTTTAACTTTTAAAAAGTGAACTACACATTTTCATGCATCGGTAACGTGACATGTATATAAAAATTTAACTTTTGGTGTTAGATATGTAAATAAATCGGAATTGAGTGGCATGCATGCTAATCTTCCTTAAAAAATTCTTGAACATGGTTTAATTTTTATTGGGGGTATGAGTTTTTAAAGCATTATTTAAAAATTAACTTAGAATATAATAAAACAACATTTCATGTCAAGCATAACGTATTTGACTGTTTGATTGGTGAAATCCAGCTTCTTTTTAAATAGTTTAAGATCTAAAAGAGAAACTAGGGAGAAATTCTGGTAGCCATCTTCTTGCAATGGATGGATAGATTTGCAAAACTTTTTTAATATAAAACTTGAGACTTCAAAATTATTATCTGAACATAAAATGGATAAAAAAACTCGATTTTCATATAGTATACCTGTTAATAAATCTTTGAAGATTTGCATGCACGCCACTTAATTCCTATGTATTTACATATCCAGCACCTACACTTCAACTTTTACATATATGCCACCTTGCCTACGCATAAAAAGGTGTATTTTATATTTTACAAGTTAAAATAATTGTGTTTTTTATACGATGTGAAAGATTTGGATCATATAAATGTAAGAAGAAAAATTTAGTTGTTAGATATGCAAATACACATGAATTGGATGGTATGTATGTAAACGCCTCTTCTTTATATTCTGCTCTTTTAGCCATCAAAGAGTTGGATTCTTATGTTGTATGATTGACATTTTGATCTATTATCTTCTTTTGTAATTCTAGATTTGAAGCTTACTTCAAAAGAAAGGAAATAGATTAGCAGGAGAAATGTCATACATGAGGGGAGATCTATTGACTAGGATGAGGAAGCTTGTGAAGGGACTTGCCAGACCAACCCCACTTTGGCTCAAGGCCATGGAAGAGTAATCCAATTCTCTTTATCTCCAAAACCACACAATTCTTATGTAACCCTAAATCTATCTAACACCTAAAGTAAGTTTGATATTTACACTTATACCATCTTGGTGTCTTGTACCCATGCATGAAAATGTGTATTTCACTTTTTAAAAGATAGTGAAGGTGGCATTTTTGACGTGATGTTAAGGATTCAAATGGTTTGCATATAAATATGTAAATACATAATAATTGTGTAGTATGTATGTAAATGTCCCTTTTCTATTATTCTTACTGACTTTAGCTGGTTAGGGCTCCTCCTGTAACGTTACCTCGATCCGACGGAAAGATAAAAAATATTGAGATGCCTGAGGATGTTTATGTAAAGAAGTTCTTCAAGAAATATCCTGATTCTTTATATCATGATGCTGTAAGGTAAATTTGCAATCTCTGGTTATGAACTTTGGTATTTTTATTAGATATGAACAATAGAGGTAGATTTATCAGCAATTGAGTGGCAAGTGGGCGTAATTATTCTGCATTCATGTTTTGATTTTTGCATAATGCCAAAATTGCCCAAAATATGACTTTTTTGGAGATTTTCAGGTTTAACGGATTTAACCCTCCTCCTGCTCGTGTTTTTGCATGGCGAGTTCTTGAACTGAAACAGCAGGGAGTTGCTGAAGAGGAAGCAATGGCAGTGGCTGATGTAAGTCTTCTTCTTCTCTCTATCTCTTCCTTCTTTTTTTATTATTTAAATTGGACAGTTTTTATGTTTTGAAAAGAGCAATTTGCATTAATACCACACAATTATTAAGCCTGGAATGTTTTTACAGAAAAAAAAGTGTATTTCACTTCTTAAAAGTTAAACTGGTGGCATGATATGAAAGATATGGATGATATGAATGTAAAAAAGTAAAATTTAGATGTTAGATGATGTAAATACAGAGGAAATGAGTAGCATGTGTGTAAATTTAAAATTTCTTTGATGTGCATTTTATGCAAACAGATGGAATACATGGCCGAGAAGAAGGCGAAGAAGAACGCATACTCGGAGCTAAAGAAGATTTGCAGGCTGCAGGGAAAGAAACCACCTCCAAACCCTTATCCGAGCCCCATCAAAGAGATACAGGCCGAGGAGAAGAAATATGTGAAGGATCGCTTCTTCAATCCCAAGATTCTTGAGATTGTGAGGAAGATGAAGGCTGAGAGGGCTGCTGCAGTGCAGGAAAGAATGGCGAATAATCCTTCTGCTCGGCCTCCTCCTGCTGCTGCTGGTGGAAGGGTGCCATGGTGATTTAAAACTTTTTGCAATTTGTAATAAAATGTATTGATGGTTAATTTGATAGGGGGCATAATTGTTATGCATTTACATATCTAGCATCTAAACGTTCATATTTGCATGCATGCCACGAACATTTTTGATATTACAATCACCAGTTTTGCTTTTTAAATTGGAGGTACAATTCGTGCATTAGATATGTAAATACATGAGAATTCGAATGGTATTCATGTAAATATTCTGATTTCAGGGTTTGTACATAAATGCCAGCGAATTTTATTTATTTACATAACTAATATCTCAATTTGATTTTTAACATTTATACCCAAGTCCTTGCATTCAAAATATGTGCATGAAAAGTTATATTTTGTTTTAAAAATAATAATATTAAACTGATCTAAGAGGTAAAAATATACCCCACAATTTCTATGAATTTACATACCTAACTACTAAACTAAACGAGAAATTATTGCGTACGGACATCGCATGTATTTCTGTCAGGTTTATTTCCGTAAATAGATTATATCACAGCGATCGACGGTCAGGATTATTTCCGTTATTTTAAAAATTTTAGATAGGACCCACTGAAATACATCGGGACCGTAGATCAGATAATTTACGGTCTGGATCGGACACCGCACGCAAGCTACGTGCGGTGTTTTTCCAACTAAACATTTATATTTATATTTAGGTGCATACAAATCAAATATTTAACATCATATAAATAAATAAAACCACAAATGTTATCAAAGTGTTATAATTGTAAATATAAAAAATTGGTTATTAGATATGTAAATAGATAAGAACTTTATGGTATGTATGTAAATTTCCCATGAAAACAATGAGCCCATTCAGTTGGCTAATAAACTCCTCTCTCTCAATATATATTAAAAATTCACGGATACATGTCAATAAATATTTTGAAAAATGACATTGGACAACACTGCAAATTATAACATTAAGCAAATAATATGTAGCAACCTGTAAACAAAAAAGAAATAAATGGATACTTCTTAATGTCAGCATAAGTTAACGTGGATAGCTTTAGTGGCATCAAGATAGTTCAGTCTACAGGTCCCCAGCAGGAAGCAGGAATTCTGGCAGCTCCTCTTGGCTATTTCCCTGCAAATTTCATTAGTAATAAATAGCCTAAAATAGAGAAATTTACATACACACCACAAAAAGCTTATATATTTGCATATCTACCGATAAAATTAATCATATTGAGTAGTAACACTCTGGGATGAACAGCATATGCATGAAAAAGATGTCTTTCATTTTTAAAATGCAGGTAATGGTAGGGTATTATTGATGTGATGTAAGAGATTTTAAGTGTTATTTTCAGTATGTAAATATGAAAGTTGGGGTGTTAGATATATAAATACATAAGAATTGTAAGGTATGTAATGTAAAATATTAACCAGCTGAGAATACTGAGCTCTTACCTGTATTACAAAAGCCATTTCTATCACCAGGTTGTTTAGGTAGCTGAGTACAAGGCTCGCGACGCCCCTCGCGACAGTAGATGAGCCAACGTCGACGCAAAGCTGTAAATTACATTTGAATAAAAAGTTATGATTCATAAACAAAAAATAATCAAATAAAGAAATTATCAGTCTGCATCAGCTCTATTTTGTTGTGTTTAAGTTCAAGTTAATTCTTATAGATTAAAGACTTTTATAAGAAGATGTTCAAAGTCCAATAATTCCATGAGAGTTGAGCAAAATGATATAATAAATATTAAATTTATCTGAATATAATTTAATTGATATAATAATGATATTTTCAAAAATTCAATATATAATATTCTAATTAAAAGCACCTCAATATTGAATATTTTGAGTATAATACAAAAAAAGGGCATATAATAGTTTAATTATTATTTTTTTATTTTTTAATCTAAATCTTTTGTTTCTTTTCATCTAGTAAAAAAAAGGTAAAATCAATAATAAAAGTGTATTAAAGATGAAAATCAAAAAGTGTTTTTCTTAGAAAAATATATTCAACAAAGATGGGTGAGTTATTTTGATAAACTTTTTAATGAAGTTTCTGAAAATACGATCGAACTTAGTGATCTTAATATCGTTAATAATAATAAAATGTTTCATTTTTACCGTCGCATTAGTAAAAAAGAAGTTGATGAGGCTTTAAAGAAAACTAGGGGTGGAAAGTCTTAGGAACTGATGATATCCCAATTGAAGTATGAAAATATTTAGAAGATTTGAGAGTTCTTTGGTCTACTAAACTTTTTAATATTATTTAAAAAACTAAAAAGGTACCTGAGGAGTGGAGGAAGAGTATTTTGGTCCCATTTTTAAGAATAAAGGGGATGCATAAGATTGTGCAAATTAGAGAGTGATTAAGTTGATGTGTCATACTTTAAAATTATGGGAGAGGGTAATTGAACATAGCTTAAAACGTATTACAAAGATTTATCATATTCAAATTGGATTTATGTCGGGCGGGTCTACTATAGAAGCTATACATTTATTGAGAGGTTTGATGGAGAAGTTTAGAGATAATAAGAAGAATCTACATTTGAATTTTTTTGATTTAGAAAAATCTTACGATAATGTTCCGAGAGATATCCTTTGGAGAGTTCTGAGAAGAAAGGTGTTGATATGACTTATATTCAAGTCATTTATGACTTATATTCAAGAGTTGTTACTTGTGTTTGAACTGAAGGAGGATTGACTAAATATTTTCCTATTTCTATTGGATTACATCAGGGATCGTTTTCCTATTATTTTCCTATTTCTATTGGATTACATCAGGGATCGCCTTTAAGCCCATATATTTTTGCTTTAGTTATGGATGGTCTTGCTGAACATTTACATGAGGATATACCTTGGTGTATGTTTTTTGCTGATGATATCCTTCTCGTGGATAAAACGAGAGAAAAAGCCCAAGAAAAAATTGAATTATGGAGGTCTACATTGGAGTCTAAAGGCTTTCACTTAAGTAGAACTAAAACAGAAGACATGGAATGTAATTTTAGTAGCAGTAGCTCTAGTGACAAAAGTGTGACTTTGGGTGATCAAATTATTAAAAGTTGTGAACGATTTAGATATCTTGGGTTTGTTGTTCAAAACAATAGTGATATAGATGGGGATGTTAATAGTAGAATTCAAGTTGGTTAGTTGAAGTGGAGGAATGTTTCAGACCTTTTGTGTGATAGAAAAGTACCCCTTAGAATGAAATGAAAATTTTATAAGACAGTGGTGAGACCTGCAATGCTCTATGACACTGAATGTTGACCTTTAAAAGAGAAGCATAATACTAAGTTAAGTGTTGCCGAGATGAGAATGATTAGGTGGATGAGTAGCTTTACACTTAGAGACAAAATGCAAAATGAATATATTTGTGATAGGGTTGGTGTAGCTCCTGTGACAAACAAAATTAGAGAAAGTCATCTTAGACGGTTTGTTCACATTAAGCGTCGACCATTTGATGATCCGATTAGGAGAGTAGATATTTTAGATTCTGACTTATGTTAAGAAAGACATAGGTAGACCTAAGAAGACTTGGGCTTATTGTATAAAAAATGATCTTAATTTAGTAGAAATGAATGAAAATATGACACTAAATAGGACGCAATGAAGAAAAATGATTCATATAGCCGACCCCACGATAGCCGACCCCACGTAGTGCGTAGTGGGATTAAGGCTTTGTTGTTGTTATTGTTGTTGTTGTTGTTGGATGGAATGAATCATTGAAAATCACTGAAGTTCATCAATTTAACTCCGATTTTGGCAAGTTCTATACATAAGCAATTTTGAAACTAGACCAAGCCAACCGATCTGATTCGGTTTTTAAACCATGCTTCTTTCCATAAAAGTACTAAGAAATCAGATCAAATTAGAAATAAAATCATATACTCATGGTGATGAATCAATAGTTCTATAAGAATTCAACCAACTTATAGATGCTTGAGATTCACATCAGCCTTTTAGTGATTTGAGAATTCAACAACTTGCCTCTAGAAATAAGCGGTTGCCATATATGTTAGGAAATGAAATATAAAAGGAAACTACAAAAAAGAAAAAAAGAAAGGAACCATAGAGTTTTGACTTTTGATATATCAAAATATTTGGATTCTAAAGATAATCTGCATCTGTAATACCTCAAGGTAGTTTCTCCCACTGAAATAATTTATTTCCAAAGCCTGACCCAACAAACATGCTTTCTTCCCCACACTCTGCTTTACTATCCAAGAACCCTAAATGGCAAACAGAAGACAACCAGCCTATAATTCATTTGCCTCGTGCTGGCAAAACATTTGAGAAACAGAACATCACAACAGAAACTTGTACCGTAGATATATATGGTATGAGCTTAAACCTCGAGTTTTTGTAAGCGTCATCACCCTTGACGAAACTTTCTAGCAGCGGAAAATCCTCCAATGACGTGTCCAGCACATAATAGAAAGCAAGATTATAAGCAGTCAAACCAGGAACCTGATATAAGAAGCAATATTAAACTTTTCAAACTTGAAGGTTTGTGTTATAAAAAGTAGGGGGGAAAGTTACGTAGCACACAATTCTTATGTAACATATTTCACACCTAAATTTTCATATTGACATACATAATACTGGTGCTTTAAACCTATGCATGAAAAGGTGTATTTCACTTTTATAAAAGTGATAATAGTGCAATTTTTTATGTGATATTAAAGATTTATATGCTATGTATGTTAATATGAAAGTTTAGGTGTGCTTTATGTAAATACATAAGATTTGTGTGCTGTGTACGGAAATGCCCCTAGAAAATATTGCCGCTTCTGCTGCGTGCATGCAGTGAAATTCTGGCTCACCTGGATGTTTATGACAAAGAAAAAATCACTGCTTCCATGAAGTGCGTGTCTCTGTATTGAGCAATGTTTATAGTATGAGATGTAATATTCAAAATATGAGTTTTGCTGTCTAGCGGATACAGATAAATGATAACAATACCTGAACGATTCCCCCTACTCGACCAGCAAGATCATCTTCACGCTTATCAGATTTCAGCCAATCAGCACCTACCATTTTCATCAAAGTAGAGCTGGCTTTAACCTGTTAGACAAAACAAACCAGTTAATGCTTCATTTTACAAAAATACTCTCCTATAGTTTTCCATACAGTTTACTGAAAAATATGATTTTGCAACATTCTTGTCCACCATCTACTTCAGTTTTGCTTTTTGGGACACATGTCATGTAAGATTGACCGGTTTGAATAGTAACCTTACATGACCCTCAAAACATCTTAGATAAACCTTTCAAAAGGAATACACAAATGGTAGAAGGAAGATAAACATACATACCACTCCATTCTTAAGTCTTTAAATATCTAACACTTAAACTTCAATATATATATATATATATATATTCAAAAGGAATGGCCAGAGACTATTATAAGAGACTCCAGCCACCCCTAATGTGCCTAACAATTCGAGTACCACCCCCTTAAGGCCAATTGTGACAGAGGAGATTCGAACTCCCGACCTGAGGGGTCTTATACCTTGGATGCCACCAACAGGTCGGGGTATGCGACAGTGACACACACACACACACAAACATAGATATACCACCTTATCTATACATGAAAGGTTGTATTTCACTTTTTAGAAGTTAAAATAGAGTTACTTTTGATGTGATATGAAAGATTTGGGTGTATAAATGTAAAAAATAAAGTTTAGCTGTTGAATATGTAAATATATGAGAATTGTTTGGTATATATGTAAATGCCCCTAAATGTAATTAAAAATTCTTGTTAAAGTTAAGAAAAAAAGCTAGAAATGAGTAGAAAATGACACCTTCTTATGATCTTTCAAGTAGGATTCACCGCGAACTAGAAATGATGAAGGATCTGCGGTGCTCCAACTACATTTGGTCATACAACTTGAGTCATTTGGAAGAGTGGTCCCATAGCTGTAATGTTCTGTACCACGCACCGAAGCTTCTTTCAGTTCAGCATAACCCCTCCTTTGACCTGAAGATTACTCAAGAAATTAGGTGTATATTTGCAAATTAGGAATTTTAAGCTCATTATGTTTGTTAAATTTAAGATAGAAAAGACAGACCTGAAAGATCTTGTAATTTCTTCACTAAAACAGCTGCTGTTGTTAACATGGGATGGCGTTGTTCCTTCATCAATTAACAATGGCAAATATATATATGTGAATGCTTCATTTTGTTATTCAGAAATGGAAGTTATGCTTAATGTTGTAAGCAAATAATAGTTGATACATAGAGGATGAAAACTAAGGGTTTGTTTGGGATCACTTTTTTATTTTTATTTTATGGTTTTATCTTTACTTTTATTTAAAAACATGTTTGTTTAGTACATTTTTTGCATGTTTTATTCTTTTATTTTAAAATAACAAAAAAAAACATTTAAAACAAAGAATATTTGTTTAAAGCATTTTTAAAAAAAACAACTATACATGTTATAATGTACTAGCTTTACTTCAAATAAAAACATAAAGAAAATAAAATAAAAATAACAATAAAAATCAAAGACCAAAAGAGATCCCAAATGGCCCTGAGTAGAAAAGCTGTCTAATATGTGCTAATTGGGAACATTTTATCAAAAGAAAAAAAAAAATTAGCTTCTTCCTTCAAAAAGCTATTTCAGTAATTGAAATGTTAATTTTAGGCCAATTTTATATGTATTTAAGTTTTTTATATTCATGTAAGATAATTGTTTATCTGCATTCTAAGAATTTTTAGCTTACTTTTGAAGACCAAACGACATGATTAACAAGAATAATTACACACAAAAATCCTCAAATAGGAATGAATGACAAAGAAGGTATGAAAAGATATTACAAAAATAGTTGCACTAAGGCTAATAAAAAGATTACATTAACAATGTGTAAAGGTGCCAAGTGTAAGCTAAGATTCAAATTTCCTAGTTACATACTTCCATAGAAAAAAGAATAATCTTATGTAGCTATTTACCAATATTTGGGTTTACTATTTTTCCTCTTCTTCTCCTATAGGTAGTTTACACATTTCCTTCCTTGATTCACGAATTGTGCTATGCATTCTCTATATAAATTGTACTTTTTTCCTTCTCATTGGAGTACAAAGTTAAAATATTTCTATGTTGTTCAATAATCAATGCTGCTCCTCTTATAATCTAGTCCCTCCAGATTTTTCAATTCCTACGTTTGTTCTTCTTTCATCTTAACTGTTACATGCTGACTAGAATCTGATAGAAGCTTCTCTTATAATGAAATAATTCCTAAGGGTTACATCGACCGCCATCAAAGCTTCTCTAATCCACCGATAATTGGACACGAGTTGGTTACCTACAATCGGCCTAATCAATATGATATTGTCGGAAAGAGAGGGAAAGTTAACACACTGGTGAGACCGTTCCTTAAAAAAAAATCGAAGTTCAAAATATGGAGATCTAAAAAAATTGTGTTGGTTTATCAAACCAAAAAAGAAAAAAACAACATTTCATGTTCTATGGAATTGTTAAAATATTGGGGGTGTCACGAGAAAACTTTTTACTCTGAAAAAGTAAATGTTGCTTGGTTATTTAGAACCAAATATGACATTTATGATCTTCTACAATGGAATTTTTGTATCACCCGGATTTGTAATGCCTTTGCCCAACAATCTTAGCATCAAAAAGTCTCCGAAGAATTGGATTGGTTGTATCAGGAGATGCAACCAAGTATTAATAAATTATTGAGAAATGCATGGCATCAAAATTTCTTCTTAAGGCTAAATAAAAATCATGATGAAGTCCAAGGTAGGATATTTGGGCCAAAAATCTTTCCATTCATGGAAGTATTCTTTGAAATATGTAAAGAAGAAAAGTGCAAAAGTATTAAGATGAAAAAACATGAAGTCAACTTATCCTAGAGGCTCAAAACTTGCTTCTCAAGGTATATATACCTCTAGAAAAAAATTTATAAGTAAAAAGGCATTGGTGTGATCACTATAAAAAATTTTACTCACAAAAGAAACATGCCAAAAACAAAATGAGAATCAACTCATGGTTTCTCTACAACTAATAATGATTCTCAAAAAGAACAACCATCCTGTTCAGCCAAGAGCAAATTGATATGCTGCAAAAGATGTTTGACCAACCCTAAAAAAATTTGACCGCTCCTCAAATCAAAATTGGTCCGATAGACAGCTCAGATATGGCTTGAAATATCATCAATAAAACAATAAAGAAGTCTCAATCCTGGATTGTGGACTCAAGAACACCCAATAACATGATTGGAAATGTCTCATTATTTCACAAAATCCATCCTTGCTTTAATAACTATATAGCAAGGATTGTAATTAATCAAGATCTCAAGTAATAGGTATTCGGGACCATCAACATGTATAGCTCCATGGATTTAAATTCAGTCCTATTGGTTCACCAACTTTTCCCATTTACCAATCAATGAAATTACCAATAATATGAAGTGTGATACAATTTTTCCTTCCTACTAAGTGCGAAGTCCATGATGCAGTTTCAGTAAAAATGATTGATAATGCTAGGTAAAATGTTGGATTTTGTCGCTTGAAAGTTAACAAAAATTCCAAAATACAAATAAAATATAGTCAGTACATATCCTACCCTAAGAAGAGTGCAATTATGTTATAACATTTTTGTTTTGGTCATCCTAACTCCGTCTATCACTAAAAATTATTCGCTTCACCACCAATAACAAGTCAAAATCATTCTAATGTGAAAATTGTCAATTGTCTAAATACACCAAAAACACATCCAAAGTCATCAATATAAAGCCTCACAACCATTTATTAATATTCATAGAAGAATTTCAGGATCATCTTAGATTACCAATATGTCGAACACTATGTGGTTTATATCATTTGGTAATAAGTTCTTCTAAAGCAACATGTATATTTTTAATGAAAAATAAATCTAAAATTTGTTGCATTAAAATAAAAACTAATCATTACATCCAAACCCAACTTAAAACCCAAATATAATTCTTTAGGACTAAGAATGAAAGAGAACAGAAGGAATTTTCCTAAGTATTATCTTCTTCAATAAAGGGATTATCCACGAAAATTCATATATTAATACCCCTCAACAAAATGGGCTTACAAATAGAAAGCAGCACTTTCTAAAAGTTGCTTGACCCATCATGATCACTAAAAATATGCCTAAATATTATCCGAGAAAAGTTGTCATTACCGTTGTAAATCACAAAAATTGCATGCCATCAATAATCCTTGTATTCAAGTTTATTTGCCAATCCTGCAAATAGACTCATTTCGACCATTCCCCTCAAAGTATTTGGTAGTTCTGACTTTGTGCATATCCCAACATTTTAGAGAAGCAAACTTGACCCAAAATATATAATATATATTTTTATTGGCTAACTGCCTGAGCTATAAAGATAAAAATGTTACCTTCTAAAACTATAAAATGATACGACAAATTCGATTTAACATTCAAAAAGTCAAAGTTTCTTTCCCAAAACTCACATTAATGGGGAGATCTCCAATTCAGTTAATGAATATGAGTTTTATAATAACATACATCATATTTTATCAAACATGCGTCTCTCTCAAATCTACTCATCTCAATCTCGTGATCACACAACAAAATATAAGAAAATTTTCTATTCCATACATTAAGAAATTAAAAAATATCAAAGCATTTCTACGAAAAATTCTTCAAAAAATAAAATCAATTTTCATTAAAACATCCTGATTGCTGGCAGAAAATGTGCAAAAACTTGCACCATACACAAGATCAGTGATTATGCTAATTATGGCAATTTGTTTCATTGGTTTCATGCCTTTACAACAAATGATTTTAGCATGAACACAACAAAATCATTATGAATTAAAATTACATGAGTGGAAAGATTCACGAGGGAAAATGATACATGAAAATTTAAAGCCTGCAAAAAGGGAAGAACTCTATTGGATGCAATTGAACTTTCAATACGAAATTAAAGGCTGGAAGCATTGAAATATAAAACTGGTCACAAAACAATTTACTCAAACATGCAAATGAATTTTCAAGAAAACTTTGCATCAACTGCTAAGATTAACATTGTCCAAGTTATTCTCTCCCTTGTTGCTGATTTGGCCACCACTAGATTAGTTAGATGTAAAAAAAATAATATATGATTATACCACCTAGGATTAAGATCACTAACAATAAAAGCATAATTTGTAGATTCAATAAATCTTTATATGTGTTTGCATCATTTTTTTATGTCGTGTGTCCGAGACGTCGATATTATCTAAGGAGGGCATCCATGTCGTTAACGCTTCGAATACGGGTAAAAAAATGAGCAAATTATTGTTTTTACCCAAATTGCTGAAAAAGTGGTCCGAACGACCCCGAATAACGAAACGGCCTGTGCGATTGCGTCCAGAACGTCAAATTTACCTAGGGGAGAGGTTCATTTCACTGCAATGACGTATTCGACGAAAAGATGCAGAGAGATAATAATAATAATAATAATAATAATA